ACTATTGAGATACTATGGGTATAGGGATAAAATGAACATTTTCCCATGTATTGTTTTGATACCAATGCATTCATTCGGTTCTCTCAATATTATTTTCTGACATATTATTCATAATAAATTATGTAATATTAAAGTGAGAATATACTAAATATAGTTAATAACAAATGATTTTCAAAAAAAATGTGCCACGCCCCCTCCACTTGCCCCATTTCTCCAGTAAAAGTGACACACATTGATGTGTTTGAAGTTGAAGAATTAATACCTAGAAAATAGTGTCATTACAAATTTGACAATTTAGGCTGACTTTAGAATAGTTTTACCAAGTGTAAATAATAATTTATTATTATGACAGATTTTTTATATTAAATATTGAGATTAGTTTAATAACAAATGATTTTCAAAAAAAATGTGCCAGGCCCCCTCCACATGCCCCATTTTTTACAGTCAAAGACTTCATAGAAAATAGTGTCATTACAAATTTGACAATTTAGGCTGACTTTAGAATAGTTTTATCAAGTGTAAATAATAATTTATTATTATGACAGATTTTTTATATTAAATATTGAGATTAGTTTAATAACAAATGATTTTCAAAGAAAATGTGCCAGCCCCCCCCCCCTCCACATGCCCCATTTTTTACAGTCAAAGACTTCATAGAAAATAGTGTCATTACAAATTTGACAATTTTGGCTGACTTTGGAATAGTTTTACCAAGTGTAAATAATAATTTATTATTATGACAGATTTTTGATATTAAATATTGAGATTAGTAATGCATCTTGTGTTTTGTTTCAGATCTTTTGTGCTGAACTTACCATGGACAGTTTGCATGTGACGAGTGATACCTGGCTTGATTTTATATACAACATGGAGATGTGATGCAGCATAGTGTGCATTTGTATTCCTTGTGTGTGCCAAATAAAATTTCAAAATGTGATTCAGCAGAATCCAACAAATTCACTTCAATGTGTTCAGTGTATTTAATTTCAAATGCTAGTGAAGCTGCTTCAAGTTTCTTATCAAGTTTGTTAAGATCATCCTTTTTAGTAACTTGAAGTAACTTTGCTGAATGATTTGCTTCATTAATTTCAACCTTGGTAT